CTAAATAATTTATATCCATAAATATTTTTATCTGGTATCTCTAAATTTCTTTAAAATCACTATTTGTACTTTGAATCATAAAAAAATAATTATTAAAATTTATATTCAGATTATATATACTCAATATTGAAACAGAAATATAATCTTTCATAATTAAATTATTATAAGATCTTCTGTTCAAATAATTAATCAATCAAGTTTTTTTAGATTATCTATCTTAAACTTATGTGAATTACAAATACATTATGATATTTATTAATTACATTCATATTTCGTATTACTTCAATCAAAATCGAAAAGCAATAATATTTAGAGGAGGTGATATCTTTCTTAATTCAGCATTATTCTTGTGTTTTTACAAGCTAAATTTAAATTAATTTCCATAAGTTTAAGTTAAGGTCATATTGGAATAGGATTACATGATCAAAAAAGTCTTACTTTTGCTCATTAATCGATTAGTTTCAGTAAACACAATTTTTATCCATAACAAAATAGTCAATTCTACATCCATATTTTTCATCTCAATCTAAATAAGTCTAATTTAGAAGCACTTAACATATGTAGAATCTATAAGGTAACCAAAGTAGTCTTAACACTAATTTCAATTTTGTTTTAAAGTAAATAAAAGCATTATTTTTTGCACTACTAAATATTTAATATTAATTGTCATTTCTAATATAGGTTTTTTAATATAGATTGCAACTAGCTCTTTAAATATCATATAATTATAAAATTCTAACCTTGGAAATAATATTGGAGAATCGATTAAGCTTTAGAAAATTTCTTCTTTAATCTTACAAAAATCCAATAAAATGATTATTTTAATCCTCTCCATTTAGACAAATAATATTAATTTTATGAAACTTAATATCAAATAAATATTTTGGTCTCATTAACGCAGTTTATGATTTTTTTTAATTGGTCTGCGAAATTTTAACACTTAAGTAAATAAAATAGATATTATTGGTTTAACTATAAATTTTTGTCAAAAAATATTCTTGTTTAAACTTATTGAGATTTAATTATCATATATATACATAAAATTAATATAAATTAATTAATATCATTAAAAGAAAAAAATTCTCAAACGATTTTAACAAACCATACAATACTATGTATTCTTAATTACCCAGAATGTACA